TCCAATACATAAATGTTTTGTGTTTAAACGTTTTTTGTTTGACCGAGCTTCTCCTCCAATTCGTATTCCATTTCGTGATGTTGTGACCCAAATTGAGAGATCTACACTTTTACTCCTCCTCCGAAAAAGGTTTTTACGGCAAAGGTACACTCAGAGGTTTGCCATTGTCTGCCCAGAAGCGCTATTTGGTCCTCTCGAGTGACAGTAAGCACCTCTTTGCACCCGTAAACGGTGGGAAGAGCACTACTCAGAACCGAAAAAAGTCGGGGAAAAATGCAATGAAGTATAAAAGTTAAAATAAGACCAACTCTGGACTTTTATTTATTTTACTTTTGATCTAAAAAAACTTATTTTGCTCTTTTCTAAATGAAAACTATATTTACCGTTAATAGTTTTATTATAATTTTTGGTCATGACTTCATATAACGTTTTCTCTGTATGCATATAACGTTTTCTCTCCAATTGCAATTTTTCGAATAACTTTGAAACCGGTTTTGGAAAAACAGCGAATAGTCGAACGCCGTATTATGTGCAAGTACTTATGTATGTATGTGCATGAAAATTCATACCAAACTGCTTTTCGTATTCTTGATAAGTGGCCAGCCCATCAAAAGAACAGGCGCAAATTGAAGAGAGGGCTAAATTTAAAAAAAATAAGTTAGTCGGTTTTTTCGAATCAGTCTAATGTATATCTATATACCTACTAGTGAGCCCGCGCACAGTGCCGCCTAAGTGGGCAAAAATGGAAAAATTCGTTATCTGCAATGTGAACGTGTTTGGCATTTTTGTAACGACAATTTATCCACTAAAAAGAATTAAATAGACATTTACCTGAAAAATTAATTATATGCCGCCAGGAAGCCAGTAAAGTCATATATGTAATACTCCTATATTGGCAGTAAGAGCTAGTACCGTCCGAAAACACTACAGTACAGATATATCAATAAGCACGTACGAAAGAAAAGAAGTATTACATATATGAGTAAAGTCGACAAATTTTATACTAACAATTTTAATAAGAGCATAGTTATGCATAAGCTCCTCACAGAAAAAAATGTCAAAAATACATTCTTATATATAGACAGTGCAAAATTACAGGAATTAAAATTTTGGAATAAAATTAAACACAGGTGTTCCAAAAAAAAAACAATTTTTTTAAAAAAAATTTCAAAAAATGCTAAATTTTAATTGAGTGGATATATAAAAATAGGTTATTTTTTATTATTTTATTAAATAGTACCCGTTTTTAGCTTTCAAAGGAAGAAATAAAAACCTGCCCATTTTGTGCACTTTCTGAAGGAATGCGGTTTTCGCTAATGCATAAAATAATTTTTTCAGTTTTTGTCAGTGCCTTGAGATCTGCACGATTCGTTCCATTTTCAAAAATGAAGTGTCAGATTAAAAAGCTTGACCTTTGGACAATATAAGGTTTATTTTTTTTTAAGAGTTGCCACCTGTTAAAAAATTAGATTGTTAAAAAATTAGATTACATTTTTTTTATAAGTTAAATGAATTGTTAAGAGATGGGTATCAATCGAGATGTGTATCAGCTTCATGTAGAGAGTTGCCACCTGTTTAAATAATCAAATTCCACTTGAATTAAAGGAATTAGGTAATTGAAATAGATATGTATCACCATAAGGGAGTCAGACGAAAGAGGATTAAGAAGGTCTTAGCTTAAAAATATTACGAATAGAGTTTCCACCTGTTTGTAAAGTCGAATTTAGTTAAACTAAAATAATAATTACGTCAAACCATAGGATTTCGCCATTGTATTTGTTATTCTATTACAAATACATACATTGTCAACCCGTGATTTGTTCTGATTACATTCCCTTTAAATTACTGGGCTCTTAAATTAGCTCAGGAGTGTTTTTGCTCTCCAATTATTTCTTGCTAAATATGTAAAATTTTTTCATTTGTCTGATACTCATATTGATATACATATTTCAGTTACCTTATTCCCTTAATTAAAGTGAATTTGATTTTTTAAACATGTGGCAACCCTTCTACGTGTCATTTAGACGTAAAGTATTTTCAAAACTAGTTCAATTGATACCTATATTGTAATATCGAATTCATTTAACTTATTAAATAATTTTAATAAAATTTGTAACAGGTGGAAACACTTTTCAAAAACAAAAAACTTTATTGCACATCTATGGGCCAAGCGCTGTCATTTGATGCCTAACTTTTGAAAATAGAACGAACTATATGTACATACCTATGTGAAAGCCACAAGAACCACAAGAACAATAATTTTAAACTTCAAACTGCATTTACAGTGAAAGTGTGACAGTTATCCCAAAACGGATTGCATTTTTGAATTTAGCATCCCCAGTTTTACTAAGAAGCGAATTTTTATTTAAATCCGTCCATAATTCCATTTTTGCCCACATTTTATATGGAAGGGAAGCACTGTGCCGCGTGGCGCTAAAACGCCCAAAAATGAATTTAAAAAAGTTAAAAATATTCCAAATGTTAGTCAGAGTTATAAGCGATCTGATCGCCATATTTCATTTAAAACCGTGCAGCCGTTTCTGAGTGAAGAGAGGTCTCACGAAGTGCAGGTTTTTAATTACATCAAATTTCAAATCACCTTTCACCGATAAAAAAGAGTTCTTTATTAAAAAAATAAGACTACACGCTAAGGTTTTAAATAATTTCACCTCCCATTCGAAAGAACTGTGCAAATTTAAAGACCATCAAAACAAATGCTTCAGTATGTACTTAGTAAGATCGATATGACATTTCGAAAAGGTGGTAAGCCTAATCATAGCCTTTTTCAAATTAAAGCTGTCATAAATCTCTTTCGATTGACATCCATATCTTAATATTTCATAAAACTTTTATATATATAAGTATACTAAATTCGACTTTTCAAACAGGTGACAATGCTCTTCAAAAGTATTTTCATACAAAAATCTCTTTCGTCTGACATTGCGATGTACTTGTATTTCAATAAACTGAGGAACTTGGTCGAATTTAATTGTTAAAACACGTGGCAACCCTCCTTAATAAATCTCAGAAATAAAGAGTTTTCAAACCCCTTTCAATTGATACCCATATTTTAATAATTCATTTAATTTTGTAAATATTTTGAATTTAATTTATTAAACTGGTGGCTTCCCTCCTCCAGTACCTCAAAAATATTCTTGCTATTCAAACTAAAGATTTCTTAACATTCTTTCGTTTGACATCCAAATTGTGATGTTTCATATAACTCGTGTTTAACTTAACTAAATTCGACATTTCAAGCAGGTGGCAACCCTCTTCAAAATATTTTAAAACTACTACCTTCTAAAAACCCTTTTGTTTGTCACCCATATCGTGATACATATTTCTCTTTCCCAATTCCCTTATTAGAATTGAATTCGATTTTTAAACAGGTGGCAACCCTCCTATAGTTAAGTTAAGAAACAAAGCTTTTCAGAACCATTTCGATTGAAACCCGATTTGTAATAATTGATTTATTTTTTTAAATAATTTGAATATAATTTTTCAAAGGGTGGCAACTCTTTTCAAAAATGTAAAGTAAGCAGCATAAGCCTTTTAATTTGACAGGCGATTTTGGTGCGGATATGAGGGCATTGACTATTAATTATTTGAAATAAAACCAGTTTGCATATCTACATGCCAAACGCTTTAATGTGACACCCCGTTTTTGAAAATCGAGCGAACGGTTCAGATCTTTTGTGTGCGTATAATGTAAAAACAACCGAACCGATTTGAATGAAATTTTAATGGATTGTAGGGAAGTAGTCTCTTCTCGACTTAGTTTGTTTGCTCGGTAGACAAAAAACTCGAAAATGGCTTCACCGATTGGAGCAAATTGCTGTTTATTTATTAGCCATAGTACTCGGATGGTTTAAAAATGAAAACGCTTAAGTATTCAGCTCTCAAGAAAAGCAAAAATTCTGTATAAAAATTATATAAAAAATATCTATTCTTATGTCAAGTTGTGTCACAAGGAAACTCATGTTTGCAACAGAAATATATGCCCGTTCCATTATTTCGTAAGGAAAGAAATATATATGGAAAAATAATATGCCAAAATTCCTTGCACTACTTTTCGCACACACGATATAATAGTAATTTTTTCCTGACTATTTTCTTAAGACCTGGATACTACTTAAGCTTTATAGAGTTGCCACCAGTTTGGAAAATTAAATTTAATTGATACGACAAATTCGATATTCCAATATTTCTATTAAACTAAAGAGGTTTGAGAAAAACTATTGTCGAGAATAGTTTTCAGGCGGGTTGCCACCTGTATTTTAACTAAATTGGTAGAATAAACTAAATACTAAGATATGGGTGTCAACCGAAAGGTCTTTTAGAAATATTTGATTTAGAAATATTTAAATTAAATGAGAGATTACAAGATTGCTATGCCTTAAAAGTATTTTTGTGTTGTTCCTCCATCTGCATAGCTAAAGGCAGCTGAAGCCTTATTTTAAATTAAATTGGATGTAATATTATGTGCCTCAGAAAAAGAAGCACTTACAATTTTTTCGCATATGTTTGCATGCATTTTCACTTTTAGCAAACAAATCAGTTTTTCGTGGTTGCAATTAAATCTTATTTATTTTATTTGCTTTATCTTTACATATATCTTAACAGAGGCCAACAGCTGAGCCTACAGCTCAATATGGCTTTTTCAAAAGATGGCGAATACAATTTTTTTTTTGAATCCGCAGGCGACATCATGAACTGCATACTTTCACTGTTTTAGCACTGAGCTTGCAGATTTTTTTTTTACTAATTTCTTTTACTTTTCTTTTTCAAAACACATTTGCTGCAACCACATATGTGCATATGTATGTATGTATGTTTGTTTATAAATATGTGAATGCAATTTGAATGCACGCTTTATGGTTAAACATTTTTGACTGCATTTTATTTAATTTCGAATTTTCTGCATGCGTGCCACACAAACACTCATTCATTTAAGATCAAACACTCGCTTAACGAAATTACCTGCTCACTTGTCAACTCACCTTCATTTTGTTAGTTTTTATTTATTGTTTATTTTTCAGCTTCCAGCTAGTAAAAGTGATCTTCGATCCACAGCCACTATCGAATATTTTATCCTAAAAGAGCAACTCTTTTCGCAGCGAGTTGGTTTGATCAATGCAAATACGTCACTTGAAGTTATGCGTTCAGCGCGAACCAAGCAATGTCACAACAACAACAAGAAAAAGCCCCAAACTGAATGTCGTAATAAAATGTATGTATGTTGAAACTGTTTAGCACAGGCGACGTGCGTTGTGGCCGGTAACAAAATCACTTTTACTTGCAGCCGTTCGAATGGATTGAATGTCGACCGAAACCGCTGTCCAAATATGCAATATATGTATTTGTAATAGCGGCTGATTGGTATGCTGTTTGTTATTGTTTTAGTGTTTTTGTGGCTACAAATTAACGTTTTATTATTTTTATTGCTATCGACTGGAAGTGCGTTTGTTTTAATATTCGTTTTTTCTCGGTTTTCGTTTCTTCCGTCGCTTTGCTCTTGCGCTTCTCTACGTTTCACTCAACTTTCTTTCCACATACAAATTTCGTGGCATATTTTTTGTTTTCGTACTCAATGCTACTTCGACACTTCGCAATGGTAACACTTTTTTTTTTAATTTATAACATCACTATTTTAAAGTGGAAAACCTTTTTTGCACTCTTCTTCTTGCCTTGTGGTATTTTAATTGCACATTGAAAACCGCGCGTTCACAAAAATTTTGCTGCTATTGCCGCTTTCTATGAGCTGTTGCTGCCTCGGCGTTTTCAACTAATCTGTCGTTCGCGTTTGCCGCGCCTGTGACTTTTAAAGTAAATGTTGCGTCTTTAGCCGGCAATGGTTACCTTCAACTCGCTCTCTTTGAGGATTTTTAGATTTGTGGCTTTGCGGCATTACAATTTTGTTGCTCTTGTTGCACGTCAGGGTACAAAGATTTAGCGTTTTGCCTCTCTGTTGCTCCAACTCACTCACTCACTATGTAGTTTGCACCCAACTAATTTGCTCTTAACTGCAGTGTTGTTATTATTTAATTATTTATTTATTTTTTACTTAAATACAAACAATTTGCTTTTCGTTTGTAAATTTTGCGTTGAATTTATTTCCTTGACGCGCCATAAGTGGGTTGATTGTGTTTAGATGTACATTTGATATCAGAATGTGGCAATAGTTTAATGGTTTAAATATGTAAGTAGGTGTTATTGTTGTTAAATGCTATGCATACTGTTTTTATTGTTTTATATTTTATTGCAATTTATGCTCTTGTAGCCAGCCAGCTTGCATTTGGTCTATGCAATTGATACTTAAACACTTGGGTCTCAGCGCAATGCATTATGGTCGGGAGGGAAAATAAAACGAAAGACTTAAGACACAAACCCGCGGTCGGTCATAGCATTTATAGGGAAACGACTGTTTGGCGTTGCTGATTTTTATGACTTCAGCAATTACTTTTTTGACAAGCGTAGGTGATTGGTGTGTAATTTCAAGTAGTCAAAAAAACGGTTAAATACATCTATGTTGGGGAATACTATGAAAAGTAATGAAGCGCTTTGCTGAGAATGTGTACATAAATATGTGTCAACAAATTGTTGAGGGCTGGCCGATTGTTTTCAAATTTTGATTTCGCTAACGTAGATGTATAAATGTTTGTGCTTGTTTTTGGATTTTCAGTATTTTGACTTTTTTTCAAACGCTGAAATTTCTAGAGTGCCACAAGAATTTGATGCCGAAGAAAGTAATTAAAAGCAATATAAAATTTCGAAATTTAAAATATCGTAAACGCAAAAACTTACAGCTGCGGGCAATAAAATCGTGGCGAAAATCAAGATGATATTGATTACAGCTTGTGCTTAGTTATTTTTAAGAATTTTCATTTAAAATGTACCTCGATATGCACTGACAATCAAAAGTGAGTGCATGGTGTTTTTTGTTTACACAGAGAAATTTATATTTTCAAATTTGTATTGAACGTTTTGCTTTTAAAAACGTTTTGATCCAAGTTTTGCACCTGCAGTATTTAGTTTAGTTTTGAGGACAAACACTTTCAGTTCATACTGTAAAATTCATATTTTGATTTGTAATGCGCACATTTTCAAATCGCTTTTTAAAATAATCGTTCGATAATTGAAAATTCTCAGAATCGGATGAGATTTTAAAATATTTATTTTATGCCTTATGCTTATGTGTTCAAACCCGACTTAAAAACTCTATTTTGATTAAAAATATATGTACATTGTCATACATTTAGTGATATGGATAGACATACATACTTACATATAAATTAGTTACAAAAACTAATAATGAACAGATATCTACAATGCTAGTTGGATCCTGTAATATATCATAGAGAAGTTACGAATTGTTATTAAAAAACAGTTTAGAACAACTCTTACCAAAGATTTTTCTAATAGAAAAGTGCCTAGTATCAGCAACGTCGCTTTTATTGGCTAGAGTTAGGATATTTCATATATCTCTGCGCCATTTTGCTGCAGAAGCGTGTAGCTTAAAGCATCTGCACAAAGTTTTTCCGACAAATAATACAAATATATGAACATTTTTTCAATTTCATGAGTAGCATTGAAAATTCGAATACAAAACGTTTTGTTTTTAAATCTTTCTCATGTTTAATTGACTGAAATACAATTTTCGTTTTTACTTTAAAAGAGTTTCGTNTCCGACAAATAATACAAATATATGAACATTTTTTCAATTTCATGAGTAGCTTTGAAAATTCGAATACAAAACGTTTTGTTTTTAAATCTTTCTCATGTTTAATTGACTGAAATACAATTTTCGTTTTTACTTTAAAAGAGTTTCATTTGCTTTGCTTGTTGGAAGTTTTGTCGCACTACAATTTGTAGGAATAATATCTTAAAATGTTTCATTTTAGTTTTGAAAATTTAATTCTTTGGCGTAAAATTTTTGATTTCAAATGTTCTCTTCAGCCAAAAGAGCCAGTGTGATATAATGTTCAGTCTTATTTTTTGATTTTTACGTTTTAAAGACGTGCATACAAATACTGTATATTTAATTTTGTATGAAGCCAAATTATTTCAACAAAAAATTATTTTACAATTTATTTTGAGTACGAAAGTTTTACCTGTATTATTGTTATTTTTTTTTATAAAAATATCGTTCATGGTTTAGTTTAAACTACATAAGCCAAAGCTTCAAACTTTAGACAGAACTTAGAAGAATTCTACGATTTTTAGTATAGATTTTGACCTTTTTAATCTGAATTTTTAGAACGCAGATAAATTGTTTTTCTTTTTTCTAGTAAAACAAGTGCAAGTTTTAAGCGGCTGAAAAATCGCGTTGATTTTTAAAGAATTTTTTTCCGACGGATTTTGCGGTTTTATGCATATAACAATTACAGCACTGTCGAACAAATATTTTCTCTTCGATGTGCTCAGAGACAAACACCTGAGCTCTTTGACACCCGACAATTTGCTTAGGTTTATTCGTAAATCGTTACTCATACTGAAGGCGGCAAATCACACTTTACTAATCCTTTTATTTTATATGTCGCTGAAGCGTGGACGTTGTCTAAAGATGAGTTTCTTTAAAGGGTTTCGTGAGAACTATTACACTTAAGTTCTATGGCACTTTTTCCTAATTTACATAGGTGATGTGTACAGTGTTGCTAGGGAAAGTAACCTAAAAATCTTAATTTTTCAAAATAAAAAATCTTCAAAATAAGATTTTAACGGCTCTATTCTGTATCAGCGATAAATGTTTGTCACAGTTTTTATTACGGAAAAATATATGAAAAAGTTTTAATTTGTCAGTGAAAAATTTCTTGTCGCCCATACAGAATCGGTCTATAAAGGGACGCGACATTTTAGCAAGTTTTGGGCCAGCCGATGCAGCCGCATTACTAAGATCATATTCCATAAATAATTTAAATGTTTGCTCTTTCGAATAAACCGATAATATACCCGAAAACATATTTTTTAGACACCCCTGAATTTTGATACGTTGTTAGCAAAAATTTAAGTTATTTATTCGCATTTCTACGTTGCGCAATTAAACAAATAATTCGAAATGACAGCTGCCAGCATAGGTGTGCAAAATATTTTTCAAAACTTTTTACCAAGACACAAACATGTGTTTACAATGTATCTTATTTATTTCACAGCCAAACTACAAACATAAATAAGTAAGCACTAAAAGTGTACATAATTGCAGCAGAGTTGCTGATTGGCAACGATGGGCGTGCTTTTGGCTAAAAGTGCATCCACCAAAACGAAAAATTGCACAGACACGGCGTACAAAATGCAAACTCATAAGTGTTTTGGTCGAGTTAACGCTCAAGTATTGTCAAAATGGTTCAAGTGGCTATTGCAGCTATTTTTTCAGTATTACATAATCTAAAGTTAAGCCACAAATTTGGTTGAGTTTAATTTTATGGTTCCAACTGCAGATTCATTTTTAACTAGCACCACCAACTGTGCGATGCGATGCGATGCGACGCCAAGTGTGCACAATAAAAGTTAACTCTAAAGCAGATAAGTTGAACGCATGTGGCATTCATAAACACACACACACACACACACAGGCGCACGCACACTCCTAACCAGATCGCCCAACTGCATTTGCATAAGTTCAGGCCACTTAACAAGTGTGTATGTGTGTGTGTGTGTGCGCGTAAGCTTAAATTCGACAACTTGCCACGCAATTGTCACGCTGTTCAAGCACTACAAATTTCGGTGAATGCAGCGAACAGACATACAGACAGACAGACAGACCGACAGCCAACCAGCTGACTTTCGTTTGTGCAATGCATTTCTAGACAACTGCAATACGACTTTTCGCAGTCAGCTGAAGCTTCCATGTGGCATATCGTTTGCCACGCAGGAAATATCGCAAATTCACTACGTGACATGAACAATTGCTTTTTGACTGTTTAACTCGCCGCTTGTGAACTTTTTATCATTCCACTTTTTCTGATGCTTACAAGCAGCCTCACAAAATCAAATACAATCTACGTATACAAATTCATATTAATTCATGTACNTTACAAGCAGCCTCACAAAATCAAATACAATCTACGTATACAAATTCATACATACATTAGGGTGGTCCAAAAATGCATGTGAAAAAGTAAAGTCGGAGTTTTAATGCTCTAATTCCCTANGATGGTCCAAAAATGCATGTGAAAAAGTAAAGTCGGAATTTTAATGCTCTAATTCCCTGGGATAGTTCTATGCAGAACACCTGTTTTTTATTTATTTTGAAATCAAAACTATTTAGAGGTCGTTCAAAGTGCTCAAAGTTTCCCATACTTTTTATATGGGGAAAGAACAATTTTTCATGGAAATGATATAGCATTCTTGATATTTTTCGATCGCAAAACTCTGGTTCTCGTCAGGAGACTTCCAATAACAAATAATTGTTTATTATGCCATTGTTTAATACTAGCGATTTTTTGTGGGCATCTATTGCATTTTTTGAGGGATGTATAAAAAATAGTTCACAATAGAAAATGGTCGAATAAACAACTGGTTATCGTTATTAGAAGTCTCATGAAGAGAAAGAAGTATTTGTTTCGAAAAATATTGATTTTTAAGACTATAGAATTTCTACAAAAACTTGTTATTTACCCATATTAAATACATGGAAATCTTTCAGCGCTTTGAGCGATCTCAAAATATTTTTTTATTAACAAAAAGCTGGGGGTGCAATTTTTTTCGGTATTGAACACCTAGGGGATGAGGGCATTAAAATTCCGAATTTCCTTTTTTTTTTGACCACCGTAGTGTATTTCTACATATGCACATACACAAATAC